GGTTCACCCCTGCCCCAGGCCCCCCCCCCCCCGAGAGATGCTGAAGCTCGACGGCTCGGGTAGGGTTGTAATGGAGCAGCTTTGCCACAAGAGAGAGCTTCAGCCACGCTCAAAACCCCAAAACCACCCCAACTCTCTGCAAGTATCCTTGGGGGTGGATGGCGGGGGGCGAGGGAACCCCTCCTGTCCCTGTCCCTGCGCCCCCTCGGTCCCTCTCGCCCCGTCCCCATCCTGCCAATCCCTACCTGGGGCCGGACCAGTATTTGGGGATGTTGGGGTGCTCCTCAACGATGCTGGTTTGTGGATTCTTTGGTGCTTGGGTGGGGTCGGTGGGGACAACGGGGACAGTGGGGATGATGGGGGCAGTGGGGCAGGGGGCTGCATACCCTCCTCTTGGCCGCTGTTTCCAGCTCTGCCCCAAATTCTTGTGCTGGAGGTACTTTTGGTGGTGGGGGGTCACCCACCCCTCACTGGCTCTGGGGACGTGCCACCTTTTGCCCTGTGCTGGCCATGAGTACTGGAGTCCCTCCATCCCTACTGGAGACCCCCTGCCCCATCTGTGCAGGGACATCCCCCCCCAACTTGGGTCATGATCTGGAGGGGCTGGACCCCCTGGCTGAGGGGGCAGCAGGGTTGCTTGTCCGGATCCGACGTTCCTGGGGTGAAGAGAGGGAACTGATGGAGCTGGTGGCTCCCGTGGGGCCGGTGTGGCACCCTGACCTGGCACCCTGGTCCAGCACGGGCACTGATGGATGGTTCAAATTAAAAGGGAATAAACCATCGTGGAAGATAAACACCTGACGAGGCCGCAGGGATAGAAATGAGAATTGGGGGAAATTCAAGCCCATAAATCACATGGGTCCCTGCCTCAGCTGGGGGTGTCCCAAGGGGTCCCTGGCATGGCACGGCCAAGGGATCCAGCTCGCCCCCAGCCCCCGTTCCTGCCCGGCTGCCTGCGGGTGCCAGGAGAGGCTTCTCACCCTCCATCCCTGGCTCCATCCCTCCTGCCCGGTGGGTGCAGAAGAATTTCTTCCATGGGGAGAGGGCCGGGGGGGGAGCGGAGCAGCCCCCTGCAAGCAGCCGAGCAAGGGTCCCCAGCTGCCCTGCGGCAGGATGGGCTCCCACGGGGTCACTGGTGTCCGTGCACACGTGGACCCCCCGGACCCCTGGCGAGCGTGTGTGTGTGCGAGGTGATGCCAGCGTGGGGGGTGGCATGGTGGTGGGGGGGCTGCCGGAGTGGGGGTGATCACCGCCGCGCTCTTTGGGGAAACTCACTAAAAAGCAGGATTTTTGTTCCAGGCCTATTAAACAACAATGTTTAATGGAGGGTGAAGAGTTATGGCCCCGCAGAGGTTCCTCCGCTCCGCAGCCAGAGGATGAGCTCCCGTTCCCCATCACCCGTGGCCCCGTCCGTGGAGATCCCTGTCTGTCAGACCGGGTGCACCCGTAGTCACGGAGGGCTGCGATTTTTTTGGGGGTGGGGGCTGTGGCTGGGCACGTGCATCACGGCTGCCACGCAAAGCAAAGCCTTCCCCGGGACCGTGCCCCGATGCCGTGGGTCCCCCCCTCCACGGCCCCTGCGGGCACCCACCACAGGGCAGCCCGAGCCGGCGCTGGGTGCCAAAACTGCCGAAGGTGAATTACCTGCTGGTTCCTGATCTTGCAGCCATGGCGGTTTTGGAGACAGGTAATTAATTACCTTCTGCTTTTAATTGGTGTTGGGGGGGGTCGGGATGCTGTTGGCAGTGCCCGTGTGCCTATGAGGGGACCGGAGGGTCGTGGGTCCGTGTCTCGTGTCGGCAGCATGGATGCATCCCGGCTTGTGCCGGGGACTCAAAACCCTTGGGACGTGAGTCCATCGGCTCTGGCAGCTCCCTGGAATGATGGAATTAAAGTTACAAGGAAGAAGAAGGAGGAGGAAGAAGGACAGTGGTAGGTGACACTGGGGAAGGGACACTTCTGCCCAGGTCCTGCACCGGGGCTCACCCCTCTCTGGCCCCGCTGCTCCCGGCCAAAGGGTGCTCGGGGTGTCCTGCTGCGATGGGAGAGCGGATTTTGCAGGGATGCTGATCCTTGACTCTGGCGGTGTCCCCACCACGGCTCCTGCGTGCCCACTCGTGCCCACCGCCCCGTGCCCATCGCCCATTCCTATTGCCCTGTCACCCATCACCCCGAGCCCATCACCCTGCATCCCACAGCGCTCCCACCCAGTGATAGTCCCACCAGTTGCTCCCAGTATCACACTAAGAGCAGTTACTGGGACGAAGCCTGCAGCTGGGGCGGGAGCGGCGGGACTCCCACCGAGGGGAGGCTTTTTGGGTGGGACGATTCTCCCTCACCACCAAATGAGTTTTTTAATTGTTTGATTTACTTATCTCATCTCTGATGGGCTGATCTACTCTGCTGCCTTTTAATTGCTTCAAAAGTTGAGCAGTTTTTCATGTTTTAAGGAGTGCTGAATTGTATAATTAAAACACTAACAGTGTAAATCAACAGTGCAGAAGAAAGACAGCAGAGAATTAAGCAAGCTTCTTGGCATAATAATAAAACTAAACTGGCATGAAAAGTGCCCATTACGGCACTGACGCTGAATACTAATGCTCGGCCGAGGGGAGTGAGGCACCGTCCGGCTCCAGCGAGGGGCTGCAAATGCTGGCATGCTGTGGCGGCCTCCAAAATCACCTGGTTTTGGCCCAAAGTGCAGCGTGGTCTCACCATCGGAGCCTGAGATGGGGGGCGTGCGGGTCAGGCAGTGGGTGTCTCCCCCGCCCCCCATCCTACAGCCCCTGTGCCCCCTGAGCAGCATCGCTCCCTCTCCTCCCTGGGAACGGGTTCACTTTTACTTTATTAATATTATTTAAAAGCCGAGTGGGTGTATAAATCAACAAAAATAATTCATGAGAGTCATTAGCTCCTCAAAGACGGGATCTTTTTACGACCGGCTTTAAATTAAAAAAAGAAAAAAACCAAACCCCACCACATTCTGAAACTGCAGCTTTTAAAACACATCAAATACATTTCCTCCCTGCCTCCCACCGGCCCGGCTCCTCTGCCTAATGAAATTCAATTAGCATCCTTAATTCACCCGCTGACTACCAGTTTTATATTAAAAAATCTTTCTGGTTCTGCTTGGGAAGCACCGTGCCAGGATTGCGGTTGTGTTTAGCACCGCAGTTTGGGGGCACCATGGGACCCCCCCCCCGATGTGAGGTTTGGTGAACAGCTCAGTGATGACCCTTCCTCCTCCTCCTCATCCTCATCCTTCTCTTCCTCATCCTTCTCCTCCACCAGCAGCTCCGGGAGGCTCCGGCGAGGTGGATGTCAATGGAGCCATATGGAGAAAACCCGGGATGCCGGATCTGGCCCGCGATGCCTTGCCGACATCCAACACACCCCATCTCCCCCTCCCCAAACGCAACCCTTGCTGGGACCCGCGGGTGCTGCCCGCCGAGCCTGGTGCGGCGATGTCCCCCGGCACCCTCGGGGACAGCGGGGACCCGTCCGCCGCGGGTGGTGGCAATCCTCCGGCAGCTTACACGGGCGTTTATTTGCAGCAGCGGGTTTAAGCGGCGTGTTGGCAGCCGGCGAGATGCGTGTGTCACCCAGCGATTAGACGGTATCGCCTTATCAGCGGCAGCAGCACCGGGGGCTGCAGGGAGGGGGGTAACAGCAAGAAATACAAAAAAAAAAAGAAGAAAAAGCCGATCTGTCTGATTCCAAGTTAGACGACCTCCGAAGATAATCTGCTGTGGGCTCCATCCCTCAGCGCCGCTCGCCTTGACCTCGGGGGCATTCGGCTGGCGGCGGCAGCCCGAGTCCTGCTCTCTCCTTGGGAGCCGGCCAGCTCGCTTCGCACACTCGCCCAAGAGCCGAGCGAGCCAGAAAGGCTGGGTGCGGAAGGGTACTCCGTCAAAGCGGTATTTACACACACAAGGGCAGCCGTATTTTTATTATGCATAATTACACTGTCCTTAATGGAGTTGCAAACCATTTTTCCTGGCGGGGGGAGAGAGCGGCCGTGCGGGAAGGGGAACCGCAGCTTGTCTGCGCATCAGGGCGAGCTCCGAGCTATCGGACCAGCCCCGAGCGCGCCGGTGCTCCCTGCAGCCCTGGGACAGCGAGCAGGGGTGTCCCTGCAGCAGCATTTGGTGCTCACCGCCCGGACCCCCGGGCCTGACTCTGCACCCTTGGCTCCAGGGCATCCCGCTGGAAGATGAGCACCTCCTCTTCTCCCCATCCCCAGTGACCGGGGAGCACCCTGCCCACCCAAAGTGTGGGTGGTTTCCTTTTCCTCTTGCTCTTCCCAGGGACATGACTGTCCCCCGCTCACAGACGCCATGCAACACCCCCAGATATTTGCTCCTATCTTCCCGTAGCAGTGCTGCCGGTGTCCCCGTGCCCACCGAGAGCCAGCCCTGGACATCCAGCCGGCAAACCCCATGGATTCTGGGTCCCACGGGTGGTTAGAGCGTGGGAAGCATTGTTTGTCCTCAGGGATGTGATGCGCTAGCTGCACGCCGGGAGACGTGTCCACAGAAGTGTGTGGTCTCCCCTCGGGCACCCTGGGGAGCCCCACTTCATGGCTGCACCCCACGGCTGCTGAGCCCTGGGGAGGACCATGGTGTGCGTGCCCAAGAGGTGCAAGGCTGAGATGAGCGTGGCAGAGACGTGCAAGCTCGAGACATGCATGCCTGAGACGTGCATGGCTGAAACATGCACGCTCGAGATATGCATGGCTGGGATGTGCATGGCTGAGAAGAGCGTGGCTGGGACATGCAAGCTGGAGACGTGCATGGCTGAGACACGCAAGCTCGAGACACGCATGGCTGAGATGAGCATGGCTGAGATGTGCAAGATGGAGCCATGCATGCAGCTCGAGTGCTGCGTGCCTGAGCGATGCACACCTGAGACATGCCTGCCTGAGCCGTGCATACCGGTGCCCGACACGTGTGCTCCAGATGTGCGCACCGAGCAGCACGTCCCCGAGCCGTGTGGCCCCCCGTGCCCCCGCGCAGCACCGTGGAGGCATCGCACTGGCGCAGGCGTCCGCCATCCAGCCCTCATTTTGTTCTTCCAAATCTCAGGTCCTTCTTCACCGTGCAAAAGTGTTTGTGCGGGAAGGTGACGCACAGCGGAGGTGGGGAGCTGGCAGAGTTAATAGGAGACATGAAAGGACACGTTTGCAGGGAGATTCCCCTATTCAGGGAACAAACCACGGCAGAAATTGATTTTTTCCCCCTGTTTACTCGTGTTTCTCCCCCCCTGGTGCAGAGAAGAAAGGCCTTGAACTGCGATTACCTGCTCCGGAGTGCGAGTGCAATTTGCTGGATGCATTTATTATTAACAGGGACAGAAAACTCTTTCCAATCACTCGGTATTTTCTTTCTTTTTTTCCCCTTTACTCTCATTCTGTCTTCCTTTCTCGGTTTTTAAAGCGAAGGGCCCTGGCAGCGCGCTGCCGAGAGCCGATCAATTCACTCCTAATGGCAGCTCCCATGCCCTCGCATTCATCAGCCCGGCTCTTAAAGAGCATCCGAAGCTTCATGGACGACTTGGGGGAAAAAAAAAGCCCATTTGGAGGCGAGATCATATTTTCTCCGTCTCTTCCCCTTTTGTTCTTTATTTGCAGAGGACAAAGGCAGGCGCAGGCTCGAGGTGGGGAACAGGCAGCGGAGGCAGATGAAATCCAAAGAAACAAAAGAGCCTGTTTTCATGGAAATGCCCTGAAGAGGGGGGAGGAAATTTGGGGAGGGGGGGACCCGGGGCTGAGGAAAAAGCTGGTGGGGGTTGACTTCAGCGGCAGCATCGCAGTGTGGCCAGAGCAGGGAAAAGGAGAATAAACGCGGCTGGAAGTTCTCCCGCAGGCATCGGGAGCCGTTTGAAGCTCTTGAAGATATATTTTTTTTTAATTAGTGTTGGGCTTGGCCAGATCCTGCCCGGGCGGAGCAGCCGCATGGGAGCCAGGATCAGCATCTGGCCCTGGAGCAGCTCCTGCTTTGCCGCTGTCAGCCGTTTCGGGGGGCTGGGAGAGGCCGGAGCTGGGGACGTTTAATGGGCTGTGGCGTTGCAGCAGAAAAGCCATTTAATACCTGGGTCCCCCATCGCCTGCCGCGCTCAGCATCCCTCCCCGGGAGGCAGGGGAGCAAAAACCGAGGGGATAAAGAAAATCCAAGCGATGCAAAGCAGAAGGCACTGGGGTCCCCATCTGCGGCCTGTGCTGCCCCTCTGGCTGGTGCTGTGTCTGGCCACCCCTGTCATGAATTGCTCCGGTCTCAGCGGGTCTGTGGGAGCATGTGGCTATGCAGAACAGAGCCCCAGGGCCCAGGAGGGCTGTGGGGTGAGGTCCCTCAGGGGGGACAGGGTGGGGGGGTGAGGATGCTTCTCCACCCAGGGTGAGATTTGGCTGGGGTGGTGATGCAGGGAGCGGTCCCTGTGCAAGCTCAAGGGAAGGTGGCACGATGGGGGGGGAAGTGGGCGATGCCAGCACAAGGGACTGGCTCTCCTGCCTTTAATTAATATTAATAAAGTAAAAGTGAATCTGTTCCCCGGAGGCTGGCTGCTTAGGCAGGGTGAGATAGCTGCAGGGAGGGGAGGCACAGCCCCCCCTTTCCCATCTCATGCTCCTGGAATTCAGGCGTTTGCCACGCGGATAAATGGCCTGAGCCCGGGCGGGCGTGAGTGCAGTGCCTCGGCCATGCCATCGGACCCGCTGCCGCCAGCGCTGGCCGTGTCCATCCGAAATCAGCCAAGCATCCCACCCGGCAGCATGAGCGATGCAGGCAGCAAAGGCAGGAGCAGAACCCAGCGCTGAGGCAGGCAGCTCCGGGCTCCTGCCTGCAAATTACAGCCACCGAACAGCAGCAATAACCCGCCGGCCCTGAGGAGGATGCCAGCACTTGGTGGGGGAGATGCTGGCTCCAAGGACTTGGCATTTCGGAGGTGCAGAGGGCTGGTCCCTCCTTCCTCCTCGATTGCCCGTGTACATGCGAGTACTGGGAGAAGCTGGTGATGGTGGTGGTGGTCCTGCTGCCAGGGTATCTGTGTGATGGCACCGTGTGCCATTTATCCGGTGGAGCGGGCACCATTGTGCTCCATGGCATGGCACGAGCTCATGGCCCGGGATGCCGGCGCCGGCAGAACCAGGTGCTCTGCAGAGGAGCAGCAGCCGCCTCTCCAAAGGAGCTTTTCCGCAACTCAGGGGAGATGTGCAGAGAAAAGGGAGAGAACTCCATCTTAATTGCATTTCATTACAGCACGCTCTACTTGCCCAGCCCCCCCCCCACGCCGCACTCACCCCCCCGGGGACCCTCTCGCAGCCCAGCTCCGGGATCCCCTCTGAAGTTGGAGAGATAAAAAGGAGCCAAGTCCCACCGCCCAGCCCCACCACTCCCCCGGGCATCAGCTGTGTCTCCAGCGTGCGACGCACTGAGGCACAGGGCAGGGTGCGGAGCAGGCTTTTGGGGTGGTGGGCCGTGCCCCGCAGGCTGGGACCCCCACTCTAGCAGTGGGCAATCCCCCTGCGTGGGGCAGGATGTGTCCGGCTCTCCGGCGGACCCGCTGGCTGCAGGATGGGTCCCAGTGAGCAGCCCCGGCTGTGGACCCCGATACCTCATCCTGCCCGCTCCCCGAGCAGGGGGAGCTGAGGGTGATGCCCCGATGCAACCCCCCTCTTGCCCCTCTCCACGTGCAAAGGGAATTTGCCCTGGTTAGGGGCACAGGGCACTGCGTGAGGTGTTGTGTCGTGTCCCCCTGATGTCCCCTGCACCTGCCTTCATGGGGGGGGTCACCGTTAGTGACCCAGCGATGCAAATACCAGCCCGACACATCCAGGGGCCGATAGCGGTGCAGGCAGGACTGCCGCCCCATGGGTGCTGCAAGGAGGGAGGGTGCGATGGGTGGGCAGCCCCAAAGGTCCCAGACCAGGACCCTAGAAGGTGCCGGTGGCCGCGAGACACAGACCGGGCAGGCGGGTGGCACTGAGGGGTGGCATTGGTGGCGGCACCGTCAGGGTGAGGGCAGAGCAGCTGCGGTGCCCGCCTGGCTCCCCGCCACCCCGCACAGCTCCAGCCGAATTTGGTGTCATCCTGCAGAGGAAGATTATGGTAATTTTCCTCCCCCCTTATGCATAATTTTCCGACTCGGCTGCAGCAGAGGCTGTGCGGAGAGGCTGGGTGATGGGAATGTCATCTGCGATTCGATTATCTCCTCCTGCCTTCCTTCTTTTTTTTTCCTTGTGAAACCTTCATCAAAATATGTAGATCTAATTAGGACAATTACAGCGCAAGGACAGCTGAAACCCACCCAAAGCCGCACCACGATCAGCCTCCTCGGCTGAGCTGGCGGCGAGAGGGGGGGACTGGGGCTTTTGGGGGCTTTTTGGCTCTGCAATGGGGGGTCGATGGGGTCGGTGGTTCACTGTCCCAGGGCTCCTTCGTGGTGCTGGTCATGCCGGGGTGAGGCTGGCTTTGGGGTGCATGGCCCCGAGGGGATGGAAGTGGCCTCGGATGTGTCCCCTAACGGGCATGCCACCGGGGGTCCTGCTGGAGGACCCAGAGGCTGCATAATGCCGGTGACAGGTCTGTCCCTCGCCTCGCTGGCTGTCACGAGCTGGAGGGGTCTCAGCACCTTGCCGACACGGCGTGGGGGACAGC